ATATTTCTCTTTGTAACTTGAAGCTTCTTAAATATTGGGAAACACTGGGCTGTCATTGTGTTAAAAAAAACAGTCGGTGATCTGATATTTTAAGTACTTTATCCAACTACAACTGACTTGCAGTGCAAGATCAAAGAATAGGTCAAGGATATAAAACACACGTTGTGTTAGTGCTAACTTTAGGTGTTAAATCCTACTTTAATGTTTTCTTAGTTGATGTATTTTAGTAGTTTATATATAAGAAACACTGGCTGTTTTTACTCCAGCGACGCTATATTTCGCTCTAATCAAGTATATTTGCTGTTATTCCTTTTATTGCTAAAATCCGTTCTTGACGCGCCATAAACTTGAACATTATAAACGATCTCGCGATTCTATTGATTAACGTTTTAATGGTTTTTATTTGGTTTTTTTCTTCTAATGTATGGGCAACATCTATGAATTGGCTTGCAAAAACATTTGTTTTGATTAAGTAACCATGTTGTTCCGTTGTCTTCTTCGGATAACGAGTTTATACTCCAACAGGATAAACTTAGGAAACGAGCGTTATCTTTAACTCCGAAACACAAGCTTCTCATGCCAGACTTAATGGAGACGTTGGAGACGGAATCTGTCAAAGGAAGTGCCAATAAAAACCGGGAAAGCGAAAGTATCGACCAACAGCCTGCTGTGGAAATGGCTGTTCCCCCTGCTCCAGGAAATAATCCGATATATCCGAGTTTTCCAGATACATTTCTCAAGCGATTAGGTCTTCATGGAAGCTCTTCTTTTAGGTAGGAGTACATATATATATACGTTTCAGGATATAATTGAAATTTTATTTTCTTAAAATTACACAAGTTGTGTTACAATTCAAATTACTACATACTTATCTAGGAGTCGAAAGATGGTTTCTTCATGACTACTTAAATGGTTTTTTTATTATTATTAACAAATAAAGATCATTAACTAACGAAAATTTGTGCATTTTAACACGTATGTAACCAGGTATAGTGTAAAATGTATTGATTAATATTCCAACATATTTTTCTTGTGATGTTCCATAATCAAACATTATAATGAGTCCTAGCTTTAGCCAAATGACAACCTTGTAGAGAATGAGACGGATAAGTCCGCGTGAATATTAGTCATTAATCTGTTGTTGTCGTAATGAATTAGATTGCAACATGTACATTATGCATTACCACTACCATTGTAAGGCGTTAAGTGCCGTCGGGTTGTGATACAATTGAAAGCAACGAGAAGACAAGATATGAACCATTGTCTCAAAGGGCTGTCGACTAAGTTGTCTGTCAATTCATGGTAGACGTTTCAGTATTATTCATTTAGGAAGACTGTCCTCATAGTGTCAAAAAACTGTTTAGTATACATTGTAAGGACATTACAAGGACATGTTAGGAAAAATGTCATTGATGCAAGTCGTTTAAATAAAATGTATACATTTCTCTTCGTCGCTTCTGCTATAGCAACAGTGTTTTATCACTAGTTTTATATAAGATTTTTGAACTTTTTTTTAACTTAGTAAATTTTATGTTTGTAAAGATGTTTGGTAATTAATAAAAACCCTCTTATGAAGGATTTTAGTTTTTCTTGAGATAAATAATTACTTACTTGCTCAGCTCAGATTGATTAATATTATTGTTTATAATGAATATTAGGGCAGTAATACTTCTCGTGTTGTGGAGAATGAGGAATATTAATTCTGTTTGTGTGTTATAGTCACTGTTAAAATACTTGTATGGCTCTTCCTGTTTAAGGAACGAAAGGTATGATCTGCATATTTTCAGTTGATATTACTTTACATACGATTAGCTTCAGGGACGTCACTGCTTTAATTATGCATGGACCTTCCAGCTATGGTTTGCCTACTGCTGTTGCTTACTACGCGTTTCCCAAACTTTTGTCATCCACGCTCCCTCCCCCTCTTTTAAAAGAATTTCTTGCGCACACCACTTTTTTTATTTTTAAATAAGTGAGATTGAATTAAGTAACCAGATATCGTACGCGAATACACATTAAAACGCGATGTATTGTTACTTGTTTCCATTAATAAAAAAATATTAAAAGGCTTAATTTTTGCACTATTTTACATTATTGCACTATTTACTTTACCCTAATCGCCAGCTCCCCCAAGCAATCATTTGCACGCACGCACGCACACACACATATTTGCATTTTTGTTCTTATTTTATCCTTTACCATAATCTGTAGTTTACTCGGAGGAATTGATCGTACCTTATTACGTCCTTTAACCTGTAGTTTACTCGTAGGAATTGAGCGTACCTTATTACGTCCTTTAACCTGTAGTTTACTCGTAGGAATTGAGCGTACCTTGTTACGTCCTTTAACCTGTAGTTTAATCTATAGCTGAAATGCTCAATTTTGTTCATACAATATCTTTTCAACTTATTTTGTTACATATTCTTGAACACATTCATGATAGTAAAGATCTGCTAGTGATCACTTTATCTGGCAACATTCATTATTGACCTTTTTTTCAAACTTAAGGCGAGGCATGGGACGCACATCAAATGTTGATCGAGTATAGTTCCACGGATATAGGGATGTAGAGTCTATGATATTTTCTCCTTCTTTTATATCATACAAAAATATCATTGACTCCCCCCCCCCCCCCCCAAAGAAATTATCTCGTGAGAAACAACTATGTGGTCCCTAAAGAAATTAATCAAAACTGAATTGTTAGTTTTCATCTTCTGCCTGGATTAAATCCTATGTTTTCAGGGGTCAGTTGCACACCTGTTTTCAGCAGACTGTTCAATGAATTCTTGCTTTTCCTCTGATGTATTGCAGTGAGACGGCAATCCTGACATTAATTACTTACTATCACTCATTGTAAATTGTATTCCTCTGCATGAATCAGTTGAACGCTTTATGCCACTCAGATTATTTTTGTTATACTTTGTTTTCTGTGATCCAACACATTTTTTGCACTGTAATTGTTCAACCACATCCCAGAAAGTCCTTGTACTACCCAAATCGTCCGTCATGGACTCGCGGAATTCTATATAATTAAGAGTAACGTGTGTGTTTGCTTGGGTAGCTTTTTATGCTTAATTAAACTATACAAAAAATATATTCGGAGTAAGGAAGTACAGATGGCGTCACTACATGCTTAAGGGGTGTGTGGGTGGTATTTTGGAAATAGATCTGTTATCCATCAGAGTCCACCTTATACAGCAGTGTTTGTGTTAACGTTTCTGTGTGAATTTATCCATTTGTTTGTAGATACTTAGAGTACCGGTACCATCACCTTGTTGAATTTTAATACTTACTCACGATACACAGGTTTTGAAAGTGTTGCTAGATCTGGTGTCTTTTACTAGACAAGTCGGTTGGTTTGTCTTTTTGTCTTATTACACCACTCGGCCAAAAGTGTCTTTAGTATAAAAAGTGTTTTGTGGATGTCACGTTTTGTGTAATAGGTTTAACCTCGCAGTCACTGGAACGCCCCGCATGGCCACTAGGTTTGTTAAGAACTCTCTGTATTTAAGATCTTACGCGAGTGGTCTAGACAGGGCACTTAACTGTTCAATTACATTACATACACAACACAGCTTTTACATTTTATGAAATTTCTGCATTTAAATACAAAAAAGGTTTTGTATGCGAAGCACGAGTTTTTTCCCCTAGTACTATATTAAACTCCCTTTGACCCATCATCACAAGATTGGAGGGGGGGGTCAAGATTCCCTGTCTTAAACAATTGAACTCAACTACTCATCACAGAATATCCTAGGTTATCCCTTGATTTCACAGACGGTCGTATCAGAAAGTGGACACTACCTGGGGGAGTATTATTACAATACCCCGTAATTGAACATGACGATGGGCATATCATGGGATTTGATAGCATTACTTCAACTGGCAAGCCTGATCTCCAGGTGTTGCTGGACGGCTCTTTGATAGTTGTGCGGATGTGAGCTGGGATACTTACGTGAAGCTGTACTCTGTTATCACTGGCATTGACTTTGTAAATTACAACAACGCACTCACAGCGCTTCATTCTTGGAATTACTTAGGGAGGTGAATGTCCAACACCGCATTCGGGTCTTAGTGTCAAAATTTAATTATATAATTTCCTTTTTGTCAATTGTCAAATAGAAAGGCTTTTAGTTGTATTTCTTAATAGTATAAATTAGGATTCTTCTACAGTAAGTGTCTGTGACATGTTAGCGATAAATTGAACGTGTGTTGATAAATTCAAATATAATGTGTGTGTAGTTCTCTCTTTCTTCTCAAATATACAATTAGGCCTATTCAATTACTTTAGAATTTCAGTTGACAAGCCGAAATATCTTCTATATTTGTTTCGCACTGGTATTCTCTGTGATTCACTTACAATTGTGGCGCGAGTTACCGTAATCGTTTGGTTTTCTTTTTTTCTAAAGATCCTCTGTTCCTTTTGTCAAAGTGCACTCGGGCTGATTCAATTACTTTAGAACCACGCTTTGACGGATAAAAAATTATTTTTCTCATCTTCTTTTCTACTGTTAGTTTCACTCTAACATATTAAACGTTAGGCTTGTCACTTCTACGGTATATAACTTCACGCGAACTTTATTCTCTTCTGCTATTATCTGTCTGCTTCCCCGTTCGTCTCACGCTATTTATATCTTTATCACTTAATCGTCTCTCTGCCTTCTATATTCTCGACGTCAATGTATTGTATGTGATATTCTCAACATCAATGAATTATTAACAGAACCTCCAACAATCGTCTGCTTTTAACTCATATTATAACAAACTAAACAATAATAAAACATTTATTCACAAAAATAAATTAATCAGTAATATCTGAACCAAACAATCTTTTATATCATGACATAGAGGAATTTTTTTAGGGAAGTGGCGCAGGAACTTTATACCAGGGGGGAACAACTTTCAAGTAACTTAAAATCGTCAGATATCACTTATACATAAAATACTAAGTAACTAGTGACTCGGTACAATGTATACGTTTTTTGAAAATTTAATCTTAATTTGGAAATTTCATTGTTGTTTTGCTTCCATAAGAATTCCTTTACTTCAGGGTGGCCGCTGCCGTTAAACAAGTCTAAGGTGAGTGACCGATTCCAGTGCCACTGTCACATTTATTTTATTTTTTGGTTCTTTTATAAACGCTTGCAGATGGTACTGCAACAAAATATTTTGGTCCAGTGGTACTAGAACTTGTAGAGTTAACCCTCAAATTAGACATATTTATATACTTTCTACTATCATGGGGTCCACATATTGCATAATATTGAGTAATTATGTTTTTGTTTTTTCTCTTGCAACATTCAGTGTAAAGAACTGGACAAACTAATTTAGTGAAATCACTCATTTTCTGTATGAAATAAATAAGGGACCACAGAATAATTAGTGGAATTAGTTGCAATATTGAAGGTATTTTTACTTGAATGTTTATGGCTTGTGCTATTAGGAATCCTGTAACTAGTAAAATCTCGGACCAAAAGAAAATTGGTGCATGAATAGTTATGATGTGACAAATCCCATGGGGGAGGGGGATCCTTATGGACCCTATCTGTAATTCTTTGGTTAATATGCCTACCTTCCATCTGTTAATGAACCAAATGTAATTATCTGCCCGGCTGGAACTGCAGATCATGCTTGATCTATAGCTTACTCACCTCGCTCTCGACAAACAATATCGTACACAACCTACGAATAAGTAACTAGACAACCAAACATCACAGAAATAATGTTGTTTTAATAAGTAAACTAACATTGAACGAAGAGTTCCAATGCTACAAATAGTATTTAGTGGATCTACCCTTTGCAATATTTAATGTATAAAGACTGTTACACATCGTATTTAAAAGATCAGAAAAATGGGCTTATGGGTTTGCGCCCCATCCCAAGTAAAGAAGTTGGATGAGGTGTTCCTAGAGATACTATATTTGGGACGCTTTCACGGCAGATGATAAACATTGGACCACAGATGCTCGATAGAACTCTTATATGGCGATTGACCTGTCCACAGGAGAATGATAATATTTGGACTTTCATGACATCCTTTTGTAATCGGGTTAAATGAACAGGTTCCCCATCTTGCATGTAAACACTGCCTTATCTGGTAAGGAGGTGGCTACCGTAGACAGGTAAGCCATATTCATGAATTATGGTGTATGGAACTGTAGTACTCATTCCTTCCCATACTCGCAGCTGTGATAATCACACTACCCAAATTGCACCCTATTCGTAACATAACCAATACCACATTTTGTCGTGGTTTGCTAGCTGTTCAATGAGCGCTCCTGGGAGGATAATTGACACATCCACATGCTTACACTGTCCGAAAATTGGGAAATCTGGGCTCATCGGAAGCAGTTGGAGTTCCAAATAGCAAATGATAACGTCTGTGATGGCCACTGTTGAGAACATCTGATATTGATTGAAATCAGGAGTAACCTTCGCCTAGCTAGTCTGCCATTGTAGCTCATGATGGTTTGAGGGTGCAGCTGTTTGATATGGGTCATTCATCACACTTTTTCTTATAGCAGCAATAGTCTGTACTGCAGAAGCTGTTGCTCAACGGGTCTGGAACTGTACTGTCATCCTATTCACTATGGGCAGTGGTGTCTTACAAGTGACCTGATGATTTATCTCGGACTTTGACAGTGTTCTCATCGTTCGTAGCATAATTGTATTCTGTGGTCTCTACTGAGCTATACCTGTATTTATACGTCTGGGTTATTTGCATATGACGTCATGGGGATGATCAATCTGTATTTTCGAATTTGTCTATTTGGTTTTTGGTAGGATATTTATATTTTTATACGTATTTCTATAGATATTATATATTGTAAGTTTTAACGTGAGTTATCGATGCAAAACAAATTTAAACTGGAACGGTTTTACATCTCGACAGTTTACCTCGTTACCTATTGATGCACTGTAGTTACCACATATGATATGTAGAGAGAGTGCTGGAGGTTAAAATTGTGGTTTATGCCATTTCATGTTAAAATAGTCACTTGATGAACATAATAGTTACCTTATTGTCGCGTCAAAATAAATGTGTGGATTTGAGATCTAAAATTCGCAAGTGTGTAGTAATACTCAATACTCGCGAAGGAAAATTCACTTACTATATGCTCTTGGCGGTGTCACTAATCAGAAATGTAGTGTCTGAATAAGACTCTTTTTTTACATGTAATATGTCTTTCAACAACCTGACAACTAAGTATTCCGTTTCAGAAGACACTTGCAAAGTTACATACATTTACACCGGTAGTGGAAACGATGTACGTAAGGACGTGGTATCATATGTGTGCTTCCTGTGAACTGGTTATCAATAAGAAACAGAGTTAGAGAGGCGTACAGCTGGTTTTTATATCATTATTATAGATGAGAAGAGTGCCCACGGCCAATTCTTATTGTTAACACATTAAAAAAAAACAACAAAAAAAAACCTTCAGTAAGTGAACCACCTCAGTGCCCCATTTTATCCAGATTGCACAAAGATATTCCAACACGAACTTTAAATTCTGGCGTGGGAACCTGAAAAAAAAAAGTAAAATAAAAAAGGTTTGTGTTGAAGATCACGTGAATGAACCCAGCATGCCTCGGATGAACTCGATATTCGATTTGACACAACTGTTACAGAAATCGTAAGCATTGATGAAATGTGTGTGTGTGTTCTTGTCATTCAAAATATTTCAAAATAAAAAAAATTTGGAGTTTAATTTCTGTATTTATCACGTTCGTAATATTGTATGAAAACAATGATTACGGTTATTGCATTAGTACTAGTTCAAACTTTTGAAAAATTGAAATTTGTTAAAAACTAGATTTCAATAGACCCAGGAATAAAATTGAGAAAAATAGTCAACTATTCAAAAGCACTCGGGTGTCTGGATCTTTTGAAATCTATTTGATTCTATTGTGCCAACTATCATACTTGTATTATATAATTTTATCTTGAGTTAATTTATATGTACTTGATTATTTCTTGATATGTATATTTGATACTAGCTTCTAAATGGTTGCTCCCCCCCCCCCCCTATTTTCACACGAACTTCATAGAGAATAATGAACCACCTTTTTAAAGCGCTTGAGCTGTTGGTCTGTTAATAAATGCTTTTGTGTGTTTGTGCGCAATAATTAATATATTTGTTGTTTTTTTAGCAATGACCAGCTAAGTGAACAGGAAATCGAGGTAAGAGTTAATTCTAGCTAACATAAATTATTTGTTGTTTTTTTAGCAATGACCAGCTAAGTGAACAGGAAATCGAGGTAAGAGTTAATTCTAGCTAACATAAATTATTTGTTGTTTTTTTAGCAATGACCAGCTAAGTGAACAGGAAATCGAGGTA